TAAAAAATTAAGAAACTGAGCATTTTAATTAAGTATTTTATTTCTTACGTTATTTAACGCAGTGTGTGATATTAAAATGAAATTGGACGCACCCGAAAATGAACATAAAAATAACGTTTTGCATTATAAAGATCGTAATAAAATCAGTTTGCTAGCTTTATAGAGCATCATAAAGTTAGTTTAATATCGAAAACAATATCTCTATAATTTTGCTTATTTAACAAATCTCTAAATGGAACAGAATAATTTGTACGCTAGATATTGTATTTTCAGTAAGCAGATAAAGGGATCGGGGATTATATTGGCTTAACTGTTGGGGTAGTTACTACTGAATCTTACGTGATTATCTGTATTAAATATATTATTATATATCGGCCCTCATTACCTTTATATAGATGCATAACATAAATAGAACATAAATAGATCGAAGGTTATATTTAATCTCAACAAATATTGCTGCTTTTCGAGATGGAATATATGTTACTCGTACATTTTTGTTTTGTTTAGAATTTATATAGATCTTTGGTCTCCTCCTTCTTGTCTCTCTTGTCAATTTAAAGTTTACTGCTTCTGTATAATCACAAATCTCTCTTAAATTAGTAAGATTCGCACACGCTTGTGGATACTGCGAACGCCTTTGTTACCCTAGTACTGCTGCTCGTGAACTAAAATATTTCTATAAATTTTGTGTTGGTTATTGCGCAATTCATCAGAGATCATGAGATTTGTTTAGTTAAGTAAATATTAACTTGTGTTACGACAACTACAAGATGTTTGGTCGAATACATGCAAGAGTTACGTCTTGCGCTGTAACGCTGTAAGCATTTCCTTTCGGGAAAAATGAATAGTCAGACAAAACAAATACGTCAGGTTGTCAGGTATTTTATAAAACGTTTATATTTTTAAGCTGTATTTATTGCAGGTATGTCTTAAATATATATCACACATATATTATGTTAATAAAAGAAGATGAATATATATTGATATCGTTAATTCAAAAACAAAGTAACCACCAACGAAGATAAATTAAATTATGCAGGTAAGTACATTTAAGTAATTCGATGAAATTGTAATAAGAGCATACTTTTTGATCCCCTGGCTAAAATGTGAAAGGCGAGAGGCACCCCACTGGACGTTACACGGAATAAAGTAGAAGATAGAGTTACTGGAAATTGGCTTTTGAGATTTATTCAAAGTTAGTGATAACCTATACAAGAGTAAACAAGTCTTTTTACTCATTATAGATTATCGTGATCGTTCATTTTATTGCGCAAATTAAATAAATTATTCATTATGAATATAATTTTTGGAGATAAAAATTTAACGTAACGTAAGAATTATATTTTTTTTTTATTGAATAAGGATGACAAACAAGCACACAGTACACTTGATGGTGAGTGGATATTGTAGTCCATAGGCATCTACATCTATCGTCGATTTAGAATCAAAATGCAGATGCATTGTCATCCCTGAGGGCTAAGATAGAATGTCTTGTTTCCAGTAAAAAGGGTTTCCGTTTTCTGCACTCAGCATACGCAACATTAAGCTGCTATTTTACGCTGGTATTTTGTGAGTGCATGGTCCTTTCCCGGTCGCACCGATCCATTCATGTTACAACCATAATATAACTACAGCATGGTTCTTCCACGTATAACTAGTACAGTAACAAGACATTACGTGCCAATAAGAACAAGAAGTTATGCGAAGGCTTTGTTACAGTACCACAACATAACATGCTAATAAAGAGACAATTAAAATGTACTTAAGCATTTTCGAAACGACTAATGCATACCTGCCCGTTTGGCATGGTTGAGTACGCCGCAAGTATTCTCACGCAAATGCAGATCACTACTTTGACCTTACCACTGTATCTTGTCATATCCAGATAAACCCTATATCTGCATCAGTCAGCTCTGGGGCGTCCTGGTCGCAGGCTTAAACTAATTAGGCCCCCTGGACTGTGTCAATGTTGTCGCAGCACGCGGCGCGGTTTAATGCGTGTGTCTCTATTAGCCCCACCCTCGGTTTAAACGTCGCGCCGTATGTACACTGACAATTCGCTAAAATTGATTTGTATGTTTGCAGCGAGGGCGACTTTCCGTGACTTGAACGCGAGAAAGCACGTGTAGGGCGAATCTTAATTTGTTTTGTGTCCGAACCTTAGTAACTGCTGATTTGTTATTGATGTATTGAGTATAAATAAAGTATTAAAAAAATTATTAAATATTGTTATTAGTTAGTTATCTGTATTACTTGTATAGGTTTGTTAATAATTTTGTTTAATTTTAGTGTAATTATAAATGTGATAATAGAACTTATTTATAAAAATATAATCTCACTACCTCTATTTTTTAGTTATATAATTTAATTTTTTAGTTACGGACTTCGTCCGCGTGGAATTTATTATGATGGATTTTATGGGTTTTAATTTTTTTGCTCGGAACCTTAATTCTTTTCTTTTTCTAAAATAAAAGTAACTTAAGTTACTTCTTATAACATTAGCTATCTGCAATTGAAAGTCCCGACAAAATTGGTCGCGCCGTTTCGGAGATTAGCCGAAACAAACAGACAGAGAGACAGACAGACAGACAGACAAAAATTTTTTAAATTTGTATAGATAAGGCATTTACCCGAATATGGTGATGATTTTAATTTTTAATAAATCTATCAGACATCTAACAGATTTTAATAAATATAAAAACAAAACAGAAAAAGTAAATCATTTTGTATACTGTCGTTTTGTTCAATGCGATGGCGCTGCCAGCTTTATGACCTTGTTAATGTGTGAGAATGTTTATTAGCTTGACAAGCCGCCTTCAACTATTCCGAGAATTATAATCATACGTCTGTTAATACATCTGGCTGTAAGAGGTATATGTATTGTTCATAATTTTTATTTTATGTCTTTATGATTAGTGGATAAATAATTACAACTGTGGACAAATACTATAATATCTTCCAGACAGAATTACGGTCACGGTAGCCAGTCTCAACGAAGAGTAGCCATCGGCACAGGATAGCATTATAGTGCCCAAGTGTATGCGCAAGCACAGTTGCACTATTCCCTCACTCTCAAGATCAGGCGCAGGACTAACGGATTTTTGTGAAACATCGCCAACTTCCTAACTCCAGGCAACTACTGAGAACTTCTTGACAGAAAAATAAAATAATTGATTTTGGCCCGACCCGGGATTCCAACCCGTGACCCGTGACTGTTCATGACAGTCATCGCGTTTACGACCACTAGACCCACTTAGAACTAAAGGTAATATTTTGACTGATATATTCATTTAATAAGACGGCTGTCCTTGCTCAATTATTTTGAAATATTTGTTAATACAACTGGCTGTAAGAACTTTACGTTTTGTTTATAATCATATATATCAAAAACATTTTAGATTTTGTAAATAATTATTGATTTATGAAGACAGTGTTTCCCAATGTGTGTGTATTAAACTACTATAACGATCGGAAATACTGTATGTAGAATTGCCCTCCTTTGATCAAGTCGTGTAGGTACGATGACTTCTATTAGATGGAGTGACGAGTTCTGAAAATAGTCGGTAAATTGATAAATGCAGGTGGCGTAGTTTTGTCATGGTTATTATGCCGAAGAGTCGAAAGTCAGCCGGAGTAGGTAAATATTTATGCAAATACATAAATTCTCAGTTTTCGGGTCTTTCGGTATTGTGATTGTTCTATTTTTACGAAACTGCGTTATATAATGTGCAATAACACCCCGATATATTCTTAAGGCTTGCATGAGCTATGAGTAGGTTAAGTTTTAATACTAATTGAACAAAAGGAATTGTGCCTATACAGCCTAGTCTGACAAGTATTTTGCTCATAAATTTTTTCCAAATATGTTGATGCGTCACATTGCGAAGTTTTTGAGAGAATTTAACGATAGCTTAATCTAGCAGATTATCGATGACCACGTCTTACCATACAAAGACTTATAGAAGTATTTGTAACCATCTTGTGAGTATTATGTGGTTAAAAAATCCATTATCACCATTCATTCCGTCAGTGTCATAAGAGGTGGTCAAGGGAAATGCCAGAAAAGACTTATGGCCTCAGATAGATGGCGATACAACCATCTTGACGTCAGGCACAAATACCTAGACGGGGACGGGCAGTAGCGTCAAAGATGCGAGACGTCTGGTTCTGGTGCTATGGTTACCAATTCATCTGTCAAGCATGACCATTACGGCAAATTCACCCTAAAATGGGGGTGGTCCGTGTTGGACTCTAATTAATCTTGTTCTCGTGTTTCCTGGAGCCGCCTTTTAGGAGCTGAAGAAGAAGAAGTATTTCAAGGCACTATTGAGATAACTTACGTGGTAGACCTATGCTGCAGCTATATTAGTAGTAGGTATAGTTTTAACACGAATGGGTCGGCTCGACCGGGGAAGGACCACGCTCTCACTGGTATTCTACCAACGTAAAATAGCAGCTTAATGCTGCTGTGCTTCGTATGGTGAGTGTAGAGAACCGGAGATCCTTTTTACTGGAAACGAGGCATTACATCTTACTCCTCACTGGTGACAACTCATCTGCATTTTGATTCGTAATCGAGAATAGATGTAGATGTCTATGGGCCGCAGCAACCACTTACCATCAGGTGGAATGGGTGATCGTTTGTCACCCTTATCCTATAAAAAAATCGGGAACACCGAGGCCAAAAGTCAAGCTGCCTATAACTTCCTTACAATGAATATTTCTAGAAGATATTTTAGATGGAAGGTACATCGCTATTATTTAATTGTTAGTAATTCCAATACGTAATTAAGCGGCGAGAGTGTAACAAAAGAGTATTAAAACAAAACAGTAAGTTACTTATTTATTATTGGATAATTAAAAATAAAAATTTATAGACACATTATTGAATCTTAAAAAAAGAATTATAAACTGCTTAACATAGTCAACAAATACATACTCGTTAATCGAAATAAACAGGGATGGCATGAAGGGCACACAAATAATATTATTTCTTTTAATTAAGAGTTCTTCGTAAATATTAGCACTAGGTAATTGAGTCCCTCGCCGCGATCGCTTTGAAAGTGTATGGTTACGTGGTTGGCGCCGATGCCTCCAGCCGTGACCGTCGCAACCGCGCCGCTTCGAGATATGTCGCGTGCGATTATACCCTGTAATTAAAATGGGGTTAATTAACTTAAGCTCGTATATTAATTAGGTATATTTTAATGCATATTTTTAATTTATTTTAGAATTACTCGACCCAAAGTCGATGGATAGATGTGCCTCAGGGCCGTATTTTTGGTAATCCTTAGAGGAAACTTATGGTCTTCAGTGGACTTGTATTGTGATGTGATGCGTGTGCTGTAATGATGATCATGATGGCGAAGATGATGTATAAGTTTTTAAAGTGGAAAAGTTTCACAGCGCTAATTAATTTAACATTACCTAATATTGTCAGTTTAATTTTATAATCGATTAATATCGATTATTTTTAATCTAAATCGATGTTTTCAGCTAAAAAATGTTACGTGGTTAAGACTAGCATAGTCTTTTTTAGCAGAAATTGCTTATTTTTTTTAGTGATGCAATTAAGTATGATTAATTTCTATCCTAGTGCTTCATTAATGCTACGATGGTGATAAAACTTCTAGGTGTTTTGTTACTATTAGCCCTTTAGATTCTTTTTACATAAATAAAATGAGGATGGTAAACGAGCGCACAGTTCTTATACAATGGTCCATGGACATTTAAGATATCTTCGTTTAAGAATCAAAATGAATGGTAAGATAGACTGCCATTTGACTATTAAAGAGAATGTTGTTCTAGTCATTTATGACAGAAAACACAGCAGCATTTTGCTGTTATTTTACTCTGTTATTCGGTGTAAGCGTGGATCTGTCTCGGTCAAGCCGACCAATGTGAGTTGGAGCCATAATACACTGCACTGCAGTATTGTATATTATTTATAAAATAGATAATGAGTGACACATTGGATGTTTTCTTTTTTGGCAGAATGCCAGAGTAGGTAAATAACAAAGTGACAATTATTTTCTTGTTGACTGACAGTTGGCACTGCGTATGGGCAACTAGCTGTTCCCCGCGACTTCGCCCGCGTGTAATTTAGGGTTTTAATTTTTTTTTGCACGAAACCCCAACTCTTTTTCTAAAATCAAAGTAGCCTAAGTTACTCCTTATAACATCAGCTACCTACCAGTGAAAGTTCCATCAAATCGATGTAGCCATTTCGGAGATTAGCCGGAACAAACAGACAGACAAAAATTAAAAAAAATTTTTTTGTTATAAGCGACGTATATACTTTCAAATTCATTTAGTAAAAAGCTGTTATTTTGACATTACGAACAGTGTTTGTATATATATGTAGGTATGTAAAAGATTGATCTCTGATCAAGACGTTTGATAGTTTGTAATTTATTTATTATGGTTGTTTATTGACTAATTCATTTTGTAGTTGTTTGTCGTTGTTGTTTGTATTTTTTTATTTAAAGACAAAGGAATCTATGCCCAAGCAGTCTAATTTATCGTGTATTTCATTCACAAAATTCATCACAATAGATCGGTGACGTTGTGAAGTTTAAACGACAGCTCACCGGAAAATTAATGACACTAATGTTTCAAGGCGCCTAAGGCGGATGAAATAACTTGATTCTTTAATCACGGTCAGAACATAAATATTACATCGCTTCCACTGATACTGAGATTTGATATACTAAACTGCACCTTTGTACCTATCAAAATCTGCTTACTTAAAAACATTGTTTAAAGTATAATACATTAATTCGGAATAGGAAATCGGATTGCTGTGGAGTACGTGACAACCAATCAAGCACCCGCTAAACTCATTTAGTTTATTAAAAGTAAGAACAACTGGATAGATATTTACTAAATTTGGTTTTTTTTTTGTAAAAAACTGCTTGATAGCTACTCTAATTTAACGTGGATGAAGTAGTAGCCGCCGTTAACTATATATGAAATAAAGTGGGTATTAAGTCTTACAGTACAAGTATAATCAATAAACCCTATTGTGGGAACGGTCCATGTCCAGCAGTATGCGATTTGATGATGATAATGATGATAAAATTGTGTTTATGACGTTGTTGATGCAGTTACAAAATTTTAGATGAGATTTTTAGCATTTTATTATAGTTTTGGCTCACAATCATTCATTCGGAAGCCGGGTATTTTGCCAAATTAAACGAGGGATGAAATTGTTGATGTATTAGTCATATTGTTGTCACATTGTTATCCAATAATTCATTCATCGAATGAAGTAATGCGACATTATTTACAATTAGAAATCGGTTACATTAATTCGTATACTATAATAAATACGTGTCGGAATGATCTGACGGATTCTCTATGACATTTTGTGGCACTTGTTAAAAATATGTATAGACAAGGTAACATTGCAGTAGAAAGGAGAATGGGATTTTTGGGCCTGAAGTTAACTAATCGGTTTATACTTTAAAAAATTGGCCATATTTTTATTAAATAAAATACAAAATACTTTTTACAATCTAGAATTCGAAAAAACAATAAAATAAGGAGTAAGATAGAAAATCGATTGTAGTGTATTCTTTATGGCAATAAATCGATTACCATAAAGAATACACTAGTGAAATCCCCGTTTCTGAACGTTATCTTCCAGTAGAGGATTTCTTATTTTGAAACTTGACAGTTCAAACTTCAAACTATTTACTTAAAAGAAAAAGACAGATTTTCGATTCGATTTGAAACGAGCGCAATATAATCGATTCTCGATTAAATTGAGGATTTTAATATCTATTTTCGATTATTTGTCTGTGTTAAGGAGATAAAAAATAATTGCGTACATATCTACAAAATAATAATAAAAAAACACAAAATATCAACATTCCAACAAGTAACAGTTACAACAACAATTGAAGTAATCGATACCAGATCGATATTCTCAATATTCAATTCCCTTAGTTGTTGTTGTTTTAAATTTCGTTAATCGTTTCACCATTTCGATTCATTATTAACCTCAACTTTTTTGGTGATTTTATACAGATCCTGCTTTTATATCTTTAAGTAATTATAGTGAAAAATAGCCTGTTACAGTGCAGTAACAGTGAAATATCACCTATTATAGAGTAGGTAATAGATACCCTCACTTTTACTTATTCTACAATAACTCAGCTCCTAGATTGACAAATCTTGCCAGATTTTCAGCTATGAATTGTTTATATATATGCTTTCAAACGGTCCTACTTTCATCTTGTTAACACTTGGGCCCAAGAGTGTATGGATACGTCTCTTTTTCCACGATACTTCGTCTAAAGGCGACGGTATAAATAACCTATTTTGGTATGATTATAAAAACTGAAACTAATAACTGCACAAGAGAAAAAGGTCACAACAACAACAAGTTCTCGCTCTTACACGTTAAAAAAAAAGAAACCTGACTGTAACAAACATGTAGAAATCAAACCGATAACAGGAAAAAAGGCTAAGATGCAACAGACAACTCATCCAATATACTATGTGTACTCATCGAAGAATGTGTTCACTCAATGTAGAGTCGCCATTTCCAATTTGTTTTAATAGACATTAATATAAATACAAAAATATTTAGGTACCAAAATTCATATATACCAGTATAGCAGTAAAAAACCAAATCATAGGTCAAAAATGGTAAGATATATAACTGCTATAGATCAACTTTTAATAATATTTTAACAACAGTTGCCGTCAAACTTATCAATGTCCACTGCTGAACATAGGCCTCCCCTACAGATTGCTCCATAGAGGGGATATTTGTGCAACGGATGAACTTATGCAATATGGTAGAAACTTATGGAAAACATTGGAACTTAATCTTTAATGAACGGATAATATTGTTAGTAATATTTAAAGAAATATTTATACAGGGTTATTTTTCAAAGAGTAGCCAAATTTTAAACTTAAGTTCAAATATATAAATAATGATATACCGTTATTATTGCAGTTTTTGAAAATACGAGTAACTAAGGCTTCTACTTTTATTTGAAATTATCCTAAGCTGAATATGATTTATGGGCAACAACGTTTTTGCTTACCGATCGACTCTTACGAACGTGTGGATGCGCAGTAGAATTAGTGTAAAATAATGCATTATCACGCATTTTAAATTTTAAAGATAAAAGGAAAAAAATTATATTGAGATTTTTTTAAATATATTTTTCTTTACCGTTTGCCTATATTACTTATTTTGATTACCTTCCTACCTAACCCTGTATCTATATAAATAAAATAATAGTTGTTTGCAATTGTGCGCGCATCACGGAAAAGCTACTTGATAGATTTCAATTAGGTTTTCTAAGTTTTATTTCTTAGACACTTGGCACTTATCTAAAAAAAATATTGCGATATTTTCATTTAATATACAGTTATTAAGGTTTTAAGAAACAACGATTTTTATACGGGGTTTTTCACACGGTTACTACATACAACTCAGAAAATTTATATATTTTAGCTACAAACGGAGCAACGAATAACATTGTTTACAAAGAAATTTTGTCTTTTTGATTTTTTTCCTTCGCACATACCAAAACTTTGTAATACATCAAGCAACGCGGACGAAGTCGCGGGTGTCAGCTAGTATCGAATAAATGTGGTCACTCAAGGTAGAGTCGTTTCCAATTTGTTTAAATAAACATTAATATATATACAAGAATGTTTACAAACTTTCATATGTATTACTAAACAATTAAAGCAGTATAGATTAATTTTTATAACAATATTTTAATGGCAGTATAGCTCATTAAAATGAAATGTAATATTTTAACGTTACTGAATTTTAAAAATGTTTTGCGTTATTTCTGTATTTATAAATTTCATATACACACACGCTTCATATGCAAGATTGTGTGGTTTGAACATCGTTCCAAATTGTGAAACCAATAAATTATTACTAAAACGTATGCGTGTTATAATACACATATGTATAATATTTTTATTGTAAATTACACATTACACATTAATATTCAATATAGAATCTGTCATGAATGAAGTCTTTCTTATGATTCATTTGTTAAAGCATGGAATTACTTCTGCAATTCGTGAACGTGAATTAAATTCGTTAAGCAGACGATAATCTCATATTTAACTACTTACTTTTATGATCCTCCGCTGTGAATCTACAAACGTGTAATCCTTATCCCTCCTTAAAAGCGGTAGTGCGCGATAAACTACTTTCTCTGTGGATATCAACAAATTGTTCACTCTAGTACCTACAACGAGGTCTTTAGCTTCAAATAAATTTATTAAAAAAGCATTCAGTACTAGAATATATATTAAAAATTTCATCTTCGTGATTTATTCAACACATTTTAGGTTAAGTGTGAGAACTATACGACTATACGTATTGGACTGAGATAAATTAGCAAAATCATTGACGCTAAACATAGTTCGACCTTGCTGTTTTTTATTGATGAGTTGATTCACGCATAGCATTTACAAACATGTATTTATTTTTATTTATTGACGATTTGAGTCTTGGGTTTGAGTCTAAACGAAAACTAATATTTGTGCATCTTACGCCAGCCTTATTCAAGTTTTTTTATAGGATAAGGCTGACAAGCGAGCCCACAGTCCTCCTGATGTTAAGTGGTTGCTGTGGCCCAAAAACATCTACATTTATCTTAGATTACGAATAAATGCAGATACGTTGTCACTCGTGAGGATTAAAATGGAATGCCTCGTTTCCAGTAAAAAGGGTCTCTGGTTCTCTATACTCACCCTGCGAAACACGGATGCGTTAAGCTGCTATTTTACGCTGGTATTCTGTGAGAGCGTGGTCCTTCCCCGGTCGAGCCAACCCAATCGTGCTACAACTATACCAGTAATATAGCTGCAGTGTGGTTCTACCACGTAAGAAAGTAGTATATAAGTATATTCTTTTTTTAGGAATACGAAGAGTACGTACGTAGAGAGTATGTACGTGGTAGTGCCTTGCTTTAGCTATATTGTAGTTGTGGCACGAACGGTCAGTTCGACCGGTAAAGGACCATGCTCTCCCAACTCTCTCACAGAATACCAGCGTAAAAAGGCAACGTAATCTTGCACGGTGAGTGTATAGATTGGGATACACTTTTATTAGATACGAGGTATTCCATCTTAGTCTTAAGGTGTCACGACGCATTTGGATTGTTAACTAAGGGTAGGTGGACTGTGTAAACGTTTGTCACTTTAATTCTATAAGAAAATCTTATATTTATTACCTCTTTCAAATAGCAGGTTGAGAGTTGAGACCCAATATATTTGGTTAAATAATTATAAATTATAAAACGAAATTGTATTTCATTGTACATCCGATTCAGGTTACGCCTGAGCCTATTTGATTCTATATTCCCGTTACTGCATACCGTTCATCTTATATCTAATATTTCAATCAATTTTCTATCTTTTTACCATCATGAAGGTAGAAGATGCAATCCATGCTTCGCAGTCGAATTTGCAACGTAGAAAGCTGAAGGACTGGGAGCTACAGTAATTTCGTTATTTCATATAGGTGATTTATTTTGAAGCAATAATTCTGAGTCAAAATACTATTTGTTAATAAAATTTGTGTTGTTGGGTAGTGTGTGTAGTAGTGGATACACAATATTAAAATGAGTAGCATTGAAGTGACGTGACTGTTGTTGTAAATTGCTAAATGGTGCCGGTATAAAATAATCCATCATTCCATTTCGTGCGGTGGGTGTCGTAAGGGGTAACTATAGGAAAGACATTTTTATAGGATAAGGGTGACAAACGAGCACACAGTCCACCTGATAGTAAGTGGTTGCTGTGGCCCATAGACATCTACATCTATCTTCGATTACGAACCAAAATGCAGATGCGTTGTCACCCGTGAGGACTAAGATGGAATGCCTCGTTTCCAGTAAAAAGGGTCTCCGGTTCTCTACACTCACCATACGAAACACAGCAGCGTTAAGCTGCTATTTTACGCTGGTATTCTGTGAGAGCGTGGTTTTTCCCCGGTCGAGCCGACCCATTCGTGCTACAACCATAATATAGCTGCAGCATGGCTTTACCACGTATAAGACATCATGGGACCAGATGCATTTATATCTTCTCACGTATGTCTTAATGATTTGTAATATTTTCGGCCCCACATGGAATACTGTTCTCATCTCTGGGCCGGGGCACCCCAGTGCCAGCTCCTTCCACTTGACCGCATCCAGCGCAGAGCGGTTCGAATCGTCGACGACCAAGTTCTTTCTGATCGGCTCAATACACTGGCACTGCGTAGAGATGTTGCATCGCTTTGCGTATTTTATCGCATCTATCACGGAGAGGGCTCTGGGCAATTGTTTGGACTAATTCCAGCCGCTCAATTTCACCATCGCACATCGCGACAAAGCTCGCGTTACCATCCATACCATCTGGATGATTGGCGGTCCACCACTGTGCGATTTAGAAGAAGTTTTCTCCCTCGCACAACTTCCTTGTGGAATCAATTACCACCAGCGAATTTTCCGGACCGATACGACTTAGGAACCTTCAAGAAAAGAGCTTACACCTTTCTAAAAGGCCGGCAACGCATCTGCAATTCCCCTGGTGTTGCGGTTGTTCATGGGTGGCGGTAGTCACTTACCATCAGGGGAGCCGCATGCTCGTTTGCCCCCTCTTCTATAAAAAAAAAATTACGCAAACACTACACATTTAAATAAAACTAATTTTACGGATTTTATCGCGTATATTAACTTATTTTTTATACCAACCGATATTTAAATGGTGAATCGCACCATCATCCTTCACAGTTAGCTACCGTGGGAAAATCTTTGTTTCAGAGAGCACGAGGGATCTGTAACAGAAAACATCTGGCCGCCGAGCTTCAGCACGTCGAGCAAGTACTGCAAGACAACAAGCTTCGGGTCCCGCGTCTACGTTACAGTGACCGAGTGAAGCCACCCACAGTCGAGCGTGTGCCTGCTGTACTGCCCTATGTCAGAGGAGTCACAGACAAGGTAGGCTACATCTTGAAGCGAGCTTCCATTAAAACATACTTCAAGCCGCTGAAGAAGATTGGTCAATTTTTACCATCCGTCAAGTGTCATATCCCTCTACAAGATGCAGAAGTGGACAAGCTGGATTGTGAATGTGGTCTCTCGTACATAGGACAAACAAAAAGATCTATAAAAACCCGTGTTAAAGAACATATAGTTGACGTGAAGCACCGACGTATCGGGAAGTCTGCAGTTTGTGAACATGTTCAAGATCGCCCCCGCCATTACATTAAATTTGATAGACCACAAATCCTCGCAAAAGAACACCGATTCCTCCCAAGGATGATTCGCGAGGCTATTGAAATTAAAAAACATCCTAATTTCAATAGAGAAGATGGATGGGTGCTGCCATCTGCTTGGGATCCCATAATTAATAAAATCAAATCCAAACCCAAGTATACCACTGCTAAACTTCAAGATACTGTAAGCTCATTCTGCGTAAATCGAACCAAAAATTAATATTAAAAAACTGAAGATAGCTGGGCTAACTATGACAGTAGGACGTCAAACACCTCAGTCCCCCGTGACCACGGGTGCTGGAAATCACCCGAAACGTCGGGAATAAGAAATAAGTTAATATACGCGATAAAATCCGTAAAACTAGTTTTATTTAAACGTATGTCTTAGCTTAACACATACACCGACAACAAAGAGACGTCTATGTGACCGCTGATAGCCACTCCCTTGCCAAGAGTGGCGATTGTGGAAATGGATATAAGACAACGTTACAAAAGAGCTATAGTGTGCGTGTGTGCGTGCGTGTTCGTGTGTTACAGTGAAGAAAAGTATTGATGGAATACTGCCTCGATATATCATTCCGGGGCGTCCTATGTAAACTAAATGGGACTCTCCCGGGAAGATTTGCCATAATGGTCATGTTTGACAAGCGGATTGAGGATAGCAGTACCAGACTTCACGCACCTTTGACACTGCTGCCCGTCATTGGTATAGGTATTTTACGTGTCATAGTCACTTCTTAGGACACCCTAGGCAAGAAATAGTAGTCGAGAAAAGTCACTCTAGTCTTTATGTGTAAATAGTAATGGGCAATACAGCTATACTAGTCGCAGCCAACCTCTTTTTTAATCTTACATTTAAGTCTAGTCGTCGATTAAATAATTTTGAATAAGTTTGTAGTATAAAATTTTATGATCAACATGAGATTTATTAATTATAAATGAGTTTAAATACCAATTATAAAGATTGTCACAAAATATTTAAAATCAATTATGTTATAAATTGCTTCGGAAAAGCAACGTTAGTAGTTAGTTTTAGAATGTCGTGTTAACGCAGAAGTAATCTCAACAATTTCATCTCACCTTTAGTGTATAATGTCGCAACAGGAAGATTAACTACCAACAAGTCCGATTTCCTCGCAGCTAGTTTAAAATAATTACTAGGTACACACCTACAGGGTAGTTCGAAGTACGTACTACGTACCGTCGGAGAGTTGTTTGGTGCATAAATAATAGCTTGCCCCAGGCGACAGACTAACAATCTGGCTACTGGGGAGATTCGGTGTGTTCAGACGATGTCGATGTTTTGTTTTGTTGTACCTACAGGTAACTACACCCTCTGCAATACATATGCTATTAAAGTTTATTTTCACAAAGAACAAATTTTATGTAGATTGATAAAGGGACGAAATATAATAAAATTGCATTTCAAGCAAGCGCCGCATTTTCCTAGTGCCATATTGCCATAAAATGAAGACTATTTTAACGAAACTATGGAAGTAGAACTATTTATCCTTGTTTTAGTTATAAAAAGTGACAATAACAGGGATATCTACTATTAATATTATAGATGCGAAAATGTGATAGTTGGTTTATTCTCTCACGTAGCAACGGAGAAACGGACTACAGGCCGAAGAGTGACATTAATTTATTCATTAATTACTGCCTATCAACTTTCTACATAGAGTCGCCAAAGCATCTATGGCTTCTGCCGCTGAATTGACTCGGGCGCCTTGTCTGGCTCACTAATACCACTCTCACCGAAAACAGGGACTTAGTCGTCTCTCTCATCCCTTTCCGCAAATATATTTAGAGATGGAAAGCGAGCGATAGTGCAATATCTTCGCCCGATCGTCAAAACCATCTTACGCTGGAAACTGATTTCAGATCTACGTAATCGATTGGCTAGCTTTTCCACCCATACGGGTGCTCCGGATAACAACAGCACAACCCCGGCATAGAAACGGCGCTCTTCCTCCCTCGGTTCCCTTAAACTGGGCAGCAGTCTATACATAGCTCTCGCTAACATCTCAATCCTGGGGACTAGGCGCTCGAAGTG